ATATATATATACATATATATGTTGTGTGTGTGTTTGTGGATGTGTGTGTGTGTGTGTGTGCAATACAATACAGTAGATAGATACATCAAGCACGCTTGTATTGACTGTGGAGAGGAAAACTCACTTTTAACAGGAAAAAATCTCCAGCACAACCAGGCTCAGTGTAAGCAGCCATCTGCCGAGGCTGATTGGGGTGCAAGGAGACAAAAGCAGATATGCAAAAAAAAAACAAAGATACAAAAGGCAACTGTCAACCGGCCCCATAGGCAAACCCTTCCACGAAAGACACAGCCAGGCAGACGTGCTCAGAACCACTTCCAACATCAGAGTACGAAAGAGGGCTCTTACAGTAAGTCATAGTAACAGAAACAGGACTACACTGAAAAACAGGCCAACTTCTATAAACAAAGGTGTTGATGGCAGCAGCAGAGCTGATATTTCTCTCCAAGATGGTGTCACAGCCAAACAGGAACAGACCAGATGAAGCTGCCATGATCAGAAAAAGCAAAAAGAGCATAAAGTTAGAGGATTGAGAAATTCTGCTGAATTAGAGAATAGAGATAGACTGACGCAGAATGATGAAAAGGGGTCCCTTTGTCAACCACCACTCTAAGCTTTTAGCAGCATAGCTATAGAGATAGCTCAGGATAACCTAATCCCCTATAAGCGCTATCAAAAAGGAAAGTTTTAAGCCTACCCTTAAAAGTGTGTTTATTTTTAATGAGGACCTGACATATATCCATACCAGGTAGAAAAACATTCAGTGTTTGTAAATCCCAATGATAATTGATCAAAACCATTAAAAATTAGTTCTGAAATATAAACTAAATGTCACTGTTTCAATCAAACCATTTCTGCTTGATTGAGGCAAGGATCAACCAGTACAACCAGTACGAAAAAATGTACAATATAGATCCAGGCAACATATCACAGGACAGCAGCTACCCATCGAGGAGACACCAAACAATGTTCTGCTTTTCTACTCTTGTTACCAGTGGTAATCTGTATGATTTCTTAATCATAAAATGTTAAAATCGGAGACAGCTTCATTCGTGGATGGATCGTCCAAAATGGGGACTGCCCCTGGAAACCAGGATACCTCATCACCATATTTTTACCTAAGCTACCAGACCACATAGGATAATGAAACACATAAAACCCGACCTGGCAAGCAAGTCATAAGGTGCCAACAGAATATAAACTAGGGGTATAATTTGCTAAATATTACACTTGCTGTCCAGGCATAACTCACTGCATTTTCTACCACAAAACATAAAGCAACTGAACTAATGTTAGAGATGCACTTATCCTATACTTGGCTGTATAATGTTTTACCATCCAGACATTGATAACACTACGTAATATACATGTTTCAGTGTTCCTGTTTTGTTATTTTACTTAAATTTTTAGGTTTATTCTTTAAGATGCTTTTTCTTTTAATTAACTTTGACATTATTTTTCTCTCTTTATAGACATGGCCTTCATCATCTCCATGTTGCTTGCTAGCCTTAACAGCTGCTGTAATCCCTGGATCTATATGCTCTTTGCCGGTCACCTGTTCCATGACCTGATAAAGAGCTTCTGCTGCTGCTGCAGAAACTATGTTGCAGACTCATCCTGCCAATGCAATCAGGAGTGCAGGCACAAGAGAGGCTCCTCCACGTTCGACATCAAAAACGGCAGCAGTATGAGGAGCTTGACTCACACATCCAGCCTGGGGGGACCCACACACTGAACTGGCCAAAAGTCTAAAGCTTCCTGTGGTTGACTTGGTGCAATCCTTCAAAATTTTGATTTACTGTAGGCTTTTAATCATCTTCAGCAGAACTGAGCTTGCCGTGTCAAATACAGTATAAACTCAGTCAAACAGAGAACATAAACCTCCTGTCTGGAAAGGACTTTGCACCCTATGATAACAGAAAGTAGAACAAAACAACATTTTATCCAAAATGTTAACTAAATGGGCTGCAAAGAAAGGTTCCAAACAGAGCCTGATCTGGTGCACATTTCAACATGGCAGTGTTCAAATATTCCCCAACAGCTGCTGTCATCCCAACTGGACTGGGCACAATAGACCAGATTTTGATTGATGAAGTTGAAAATGTTAGCTGTGAAGGCAGAGGAAGTTAAATGTATAAGGTTTTGAGAAGGGACATGTTTATGTATCTGTAAAAGTACCTAGAAAAAGACAAGAGACTATTTACTGAATCTTTAGATTGCCAGACTTGTCTGCTATCTCTTAAGTTAATTCACATGTAAACATTCTTTAGATATGTTTGTTTTTGCTCTTCAGATTTATATTTTAGATATATTAACTATAGTTGCTTGCAAAGGTTGTGCTTTGGTAATTAGTCATCAGAGCTGCCAAGTTTTCCTCAACAGAATAAGGTACACCAAAACTTTTGAAAAATAAAAAATCCTTCAGGAAATGTCATTAATCTTTACTAATAAATAATGAATAAATCATTAATACCTGAAAAAAAATGCCTGAAGCAATGGTAAAAAAAAATGGGAAGTTTGTTTCTTCTTATAGTGTATGTAAAAAGCTGTAAATAAATTGTGTATGAATGTACAAATACATAAGTCACTTTTATGGATAGCAGATTCTAATTCAGAAAATCATCCTGATAAAACATCAATACATTCCAATATTTTGTATTGATTTTCCCTGATACATAACAACGTAAGTCGTTATCTTTGAGATACAGATTAAGATTCTGATCAAGATCCTAATTTTTTTACAAATCATGATGGTTTCCTGGTTGTTCTAAATCTTCTGAAAAATTGACTGTTTTGCAGACCTTAGGGTAATTTGAGATCTGTAACAAAAAAAAAGCTGTGAAGACAAGTAACAGCACGATTGTCTCCTGAGGTCTGCCTTTATCTTTACAGGAGATGTCATATGAAAATCATAATAATGGGTATATGTGTCAGAACATTAAAAGGCCTTGTATAAAACCACCCTGGCAGGGTGTTGCAGCTCCTCTGTGTGAAAATAAATCATTCAGAGATCATTCTGGTTTAAATGGATTGACACATCAAAGGCTAAACTTAGAGGATTCTTCTATTCTATTTTGTCTAACCATATCTATCCCATCTTAACTTTAAATCAGAATATTATCTTACTTCAAAACTAATGAAAAATGCTCCCCTTTTGTTTGTTTTTTTGTCCTTTTACAGAAATTGTTTTTCATAGTTAAACAGTAACCTCACCACGTGAAACAACTTGAAGGCTCTAAACATAGATGAAAACCTCTAATTGGCATCCTGCAATTTTTCCAGGTATAATGTTAGAAAATGTAGATTTTCTGTTTTATGAATCCATACAGTAAGGCTTACGGTTATTTATATTCTTTCAGAAAAGGCGGATTATGAAAAGATAATCAAACAATGTTCAAACGATGGGAATTTTGAAAATATAAGTGTTGCTTTTGTGTACATCTTAACAGAAAATAGCACTTAAGACATGATGTGCTGAGCGGTGGCCTGCTGCCACTGTCCTACTCTGTAGTTCCCAAAGATGCTCCATCAGAGTCGAGGCTTGATCATGGTCTGGTCACCGCCAAAAAAAAAAAAAAAAAAACAATAACTTTGTTTCCAGTCAGAAGCAGAATGTTATTTAATTAAGACATTATTCAAGCGTAAGTATGGAAGTAGAATAAATTATGGACTTGATTATAATAAGTCATTCAGTACTGTTCCTTAATTTCAAACAAATATTTAAAGAAATCCAATAAGTTCTCTTTAGCTCTTTAAAAGACTGATTAAACTCAGGAAAATTTAGTAACATAGAGGATTTGGGAACCATAGTTATGGCAAAAAAAAAACAATTATATTAGGTGTTATTCTTTTTTGATTGTGTGGCTGAGTATATAAGAAAGTTCTCTCAACTTTTGATAGTGGATGTAACTTGACTACTTCAGACATTCAGATATATAGTATGACAGTAAGTGTGTATACTGTTGATTTGTATATATTTCTGTATTTTCCTTCTTTTTTTTTTTTGATCTGGTAGCATTTTCTCACAAATTTAACACACCAAATTCATATAGTTATTTGTACAATGCACATTAGTACGTCAGGTTAATTTCAATAGAGTACTGAAAAGTTCATATGTTTTCACATTCATAATACATTCAATATTGGATTTTATTTTGTCTTTTAAAGTAACATAATATTTAGATTTTTTTTTTTAGGATGGTCTCTTTCTTTGTTTGTATGTTTGTATAGAACTTGATATCCAAATATGAATTTAAATGAAAATAATGACCTTCTATTTCATTCTTTGTAACATGTGCAATGGTGCTGTTGCTTTCATGTCTTACTTTTTGCAACTAACATAACTTGTAAAAAAAAAAAAAAAAAAAAAAAGCGACGTCTGTGAGACGCACACTGAGACATAGCACAGACTGATAATGAAGGAAAGTATATGGCAATTTGGCATTGCACCTTTGTGCTGTTATTACAGCTGCAAGTTCATGTTGAATGTGAAGAGCAGTTCATTCTCCACAGATTTTGAGATGTTTTATTTCTAATCTCTCAAGTGCATAATTTAATGTGTCCTGTGAGCCGAAGGAGCCCACAACATGTTGACAGCAGCGTTACTGAGCAACAGAAGGCGGTTTAGGTATGTGACTTCAGTGCTGCATTCAATGCTAGTATTATCCAAAAGCATAGAGCACCACAGTCCTTTTGGAAGCAGACCAAAACCTTCTCAAAAGGTACATCTCAATCCAGTAGTCGAGACCAGGGTTGTGCCAGGAGAAAATGTCAGGACCAAGGAGGGAAGGAATTCTGTTTATCTGGCTCCAACATTTGTCAAAATATTGGCACAACAGCTGTGATTCCTGTTTGAAGATCTCTCAAATTTTATCTCAAATTAGATGAACATGAGAAAGCATACAATTCAATGCAAAGAAAAATACATACAGCCATGAATATTTTCAATGATTTGGCCTTGACTTAGTTTTTAATCTCAACTACCTCAAGAACCTGCAGATTCAAAGGATAGAGTCATGAGGTGATACTATTTGACCACTCTGAAGCCATCTTAAAATAGAAAAAAAGAGTTGCCTCATTTCAATTAAACTGTATGTGTTGAAAATGGATTCTATTACTTTCATTAACCAGATTTGCCAAAATAGAAAAGACCAAGAATCTAGATCCATATATTTTTGTACCAAGAAGCAATCCCCTGGCTGGACCTGTTACATGCAGTTGCTCTATTACCGTAAATAAAGGGGAAGTTCATATTACAGAAATACTGTAAGTATTTAAAGCCAACCGGTCCTGGACTGCTTTAACACCATTTTACCTATTTAGAAATCCAAAACAAACAAACAACAACAAAAAACAAGCATAGTCCAGAAACTCTGATAAATATTCAGAGAAATTCATATTTCTTCTGAGCATCACACTTAGGTAAAGATGTATGCAATTAACACATTATTAGGTCATATTGATATCTAGCACCCTTGTTTGAATCCAGAACCTACCGATATTCTGGCAGCTACAAAATGAGGTAAAATCCAGCAAAAAGTTTAATACAACAATCTAAAATGAGAGCAAGACACAGTTGAAAAGGTACATGTAGTCACACAAAGTTGAGAACAGTTAAATAGTTTCTGCCAACAACTAAATACAGCATCATATTCTCTGGTGTTTGCTTATTTTCTGTTTTTTTCTTCATTGAGGAAGGCATTTACAGTTTATACCAATGTAATATCCATTAAATTGTGTTAAATTATTTTTGTTTGTATTAAACACATTTTGCTTCAGTTATTTATTTCACATTCTTGGCATCTTTCTAGTTCTAATCTAACATTAAATGCACTTTAAGAAAATTTTTAAAATGTTGAGAGAAAAAATAGCATTTTCTAGAGCTGGGCGATATGGCAATATATATCGTGAGGACGAGAGAAACATGTCTATCGTGACCTTTCTCCTCTATTTTTTCTATCGTGATAAACTTTTTTATTATTATTATTACTGCTAATATACATTTTAATATAATTTGTTAATATAACATTTTGCGTTTTTGCTATGCAAACTCTAAGTGTATATAACGAAAAAAAAAAGAGAATAAAAAGA